ATATAATATGCATAACTATGTTTTTGTTAATATATAATCACAATCTGTGTTTAATAAACGTACACAAGCAGGACAACTTGGCATACAGAGCAGGCTGCGTCCCCTCCCCTTGAGCTTTCAACTTTCCCCGGGTGTATCCTTTGTTTTTTTGGCCTTGACGAATTGATATTCCACTCCACTTTGACTTCCTCCTGGCTACATCCCAACTGTTTCCACAGTCTCTCACCAAGAATTCTGTGTCTCTCACGTGTCTTTGTTGCATCAAAACAATGAATGCTGCACACTTTTAGACTTTTGTGTGAATAATGAAAAAAAAGAGACTGAGTTTGAGTTCAAACCTTCTTACCTCGCCTATCAACCATAAACACACAAGTGATTTTGTTGAAGCATACTGAGTCCTTTACTTGTCAGTCATACGGATTGAAGGACATATGGAAATCAAAAAATCAACTGGACTTCTTTTCTTTAGGTGTCCTCCAGGGATCAACGCTTGGACCTTCACTGCTTTTACTTTTTAAAAGCACTTATACTAATCTTAGTCATCCAGTAAAAACATATTTATGCCTCAGAGGGGAAAGAAAACACTGTAATATCCATTATTTGATTGATACAAATGTTAGTAAGGCAGGTGCTTCATTGTGTGGTACATTGGAAGGAAAATAAATCACAAGAGAGAGGTTAACAATACCGTGCAAACAAAGGGGCCATACTTGGGGAGTGTAAAAAGAACATGACAGATTGGACTAGGATAGTGTTTTACAAAAATCCATTTAAATTGAATAAAGGCACACATAGCACCATCTTCAAGTTGAAAGAGGTGCAAATGTAGAAAGGCATGCAGGAGATTAATCAACCTCAGGGCCAAATTCAATTCCCTGCCAGCTTTATGAAAGCAGACTAGAGATATTGAAATTCCTGTACAGCCTCATTAGGTTAGCATGACAGAAGCCGTTTCTTCCTGCATTCAAAGACACAACAAAAAAGAACATTTATTGTGGTGATACACAGAAAAAATATCAGGCATTTTGGGAGATATAACACAAACTTCTCTTATATATGCCCACCCCTACATAATCTATTCCAGCCTCGTCCAAAATCCAATGAAATTCTTCACGGGAAGTTTCTTTGAAAGAGCAGCAGCACTGCTGCTTTTTTTATGCCATCCTCCAGGATGCACAAGGCAGGACCCCCTGATTGTAGAGAATTCATTATTTGGAAAGCTATCAGTTCTGAGTCCAGGCGTATTCAGGGAGATCTGCACAGACCCCACATGACTCCAAACTCAGTCACATTCAGCCTCTAGCTCAATCATAAGACTTTTTAAGGACATATTATATCTATTGTGTGTGTGTATGTATATAAATAAGCCAATTCACTAACCCGAAAGGGATATCGCAAAACAATGTTCATATTAAATATTTCATATCTAAAATACATGTTCACAATTCAGTGAAATATTGCTGATCTAGTTAGTGTGCAGGTATAATGTGGTGACTGTTTAGACTCAGCAGAAAACGTTGGATAGTGACAATAAATGAGCAATAAAAAAGCGATATGAACGCACCATCTTCTCTGTTGCTTGAAAAGAAACTGGACTCTCCATAAACATATGACAGCAGTTTTTTGGGAGAAAGGCCAACTAATGCCTTGAGCTGTGGCCTCATTACCAGCAGGAGGTGAGCTCTATTTAGGAGCAGACTGGTTATGTATGCACATCCCAAACAGTCTGAAAGAAAGCTCCAAAAAATCCTCATTAAACAAAGGCAACTGGTGCAGCAGGGGCACACTGTAGCATCCGAGCCTCAAAAGCTCTTATCTGCATATGAATAGTTGGCAAGATATACTCATTAGCATTTTAATGAGTTCAAATGGAAAACATAAATAAACAAATATGCTTATTCAGACATACTGGACAAATCCTGTATGCATAAATAAAAAGACTGCCACGTTAAACCTTTGAATAGGCTGAGCATATGACAGAGGCTGAATTTATTTCAAAGCTAGTGGGATTTAAGTTACCAGCAGTTTACATCCTTATCCTCTGCAATGTATACAAACCTTTGAACCTTTGTTTTACATGTTCTTTCTATGCTGATTGTGTTGCCTGCACTGCCTGCAGACTGTGCAGCTAAATGCACATCAAATAAACCACAAAAGAGAGCAAGTCGTTAATGAGCATTGCAGTAGAGAGATTTGTTCTGAGATTTGTTTCTGTGGAGTGAAAACGTGCATTGAAGTCAAGGAAACTAGATAATAGTGTAAAAATGCATCTGAGAAATTAAATAATACAATACTGCACAAAAACAGAGCAGTGTGTTGACCAGTGAATCCAGGAACAGATATGATTGTGTACTTCATGTTTGTGAATTGATGTTTTTTAATGGAAGAAAAATAATAGCTGATGCTAAATGAGCTCATGTCAACTGACACCAAGATCGACTGTCGTAGATATCTGATTTGTGGCGCTGATTTGACTTGACTTGAAAAAGTTACCACTGAAAAAGTGGTAAGATTACAAAAGGATTTACAATTCTATGCAGTGCTGTACTTTATGAGAGCTAAGGTATAAAATACATGTCTTTAAAGCTTTTTTCAGCACTGAACAGACATTTGTGCAATACAACAATGAAGAACAATAGCATTCAAGCTTCATTAAATACATTTAGGTCTAGTGCATTCATTGATACATATGTTAACTTTGTGGGGTTTTCGGTTAATAACAAAAATGCTTGCTAGCTTGAGATGTTTACCCAACAGAACTGATAACCATCAGGACACATGACCTTTCAAACTCTGGTGAATGAACCACACACAAATTTACATTGCTGTCACTTCAGCTATAATGTTCTCAAGAGACACATGTTTTTTTAGCTATACATATACGTGTGATATCCTCCTCACAAGCATATGTGACCTCAATTAGCTTAAAGAAAGCATGTAGCAGCTGCTGTGGATTCCTCAGATGAAGCACCGAGTGCTGCAGTCGTATCATCAAGATGGAGCCGTTCTGTATGGGGGTGCAGCGGTTAATGATGAGGTTAAAACTCCCCTCTTTGGATGTAGCACTTCATATTATTCCCAGCTTCACACCCAGGACCAGCAGCAGTATTTAATCAACCTTGATCTCTGCTTCTTTTACTTTATCATCTTCGCACACACACGCTTATGCCCACTCATTCAAATTAAAACAGATGGCATCCTCTTCTCTTCACACGGTACACTGCAAGTAAAAATCATGAACAAGAGAACAAGAGCACTGATAGAGGAACAACAGGGGAGAGGGAGTAAAAGAAACCTTAAATTCTCACAAGGGAGAGAATATTGTGCCATTTTAAGTTTCTTCACAGGCAGCGTGCCAGTTTTTGCGCCTCTTTTTCTAGCACAGTTATTACACACTCATGAGGCTGTATGTGTGTGCACACAGACAAGAGCTGAAACAGATCCAGCACGATTCTAAGCAGTTGGTTTAACTCTTTGCCTGGCACAGATTAACGTCTTCACACCCCACAACAGGAGTTAGATAGTGACCCATCTCCCCCTTCATTGTCAATTCAGACCCACAAACACTTCCCCTCTGCCATATATAACCATTAATTTACTGCCCCTTGGGCTACACTGTCTATGGCTATCGATCAAACAGCGCTCTGAGCGCTAATTTAGTGCCCATGATACATTCTGTCATGAGGGAAGCAGGAAGGGGGTATTGATTAACGTACAGTTCTGCTAAGGGCGATGCTGCAGCACCACTCAACGACAAGGGTCTAATTAACTTCCAAACCTTTTAGATCACTGCATTCAGATTTGTCCTGGCTCTGCTCTCTTTTACACTTTCTGCAGCTTTCTCCAAGCGGGTGTTACTGGTAGAGTTCCCAGTGCCGTCGTTGAAAATATATGTTCTGATGTTGCTGGCAAGCAGTTTAAATGAAAGCATCAACCCAATTCTAAACTCTCATATGTATACACCCCCTTATATACACAGTGGCATACTCACTGCAGTGAGGCTCAAGTGTGCATTTACAGTGAAACAGTTCCATGTGACACAGATTTAAAATATAAAGGAAACCACAGGTAACTATTGACTATTTAACCATTCAGAGGCACATTGAGGCCAACTCCATTTCTAGCATGTACGGCAGCCTATTTGGCTGTTTTCTCCATTGGAAGGCCACCCTAGACCCCAGGGGTCAGAGGAGGAACACTGTGTCTGTCAGATGATCCCACCAAGATCACCTTAAGACAGCTGCTGAGGGTTCTAACCAACCTCAAGCATCCAGTAAGTCTTTGCCCCCTGAAAACACCTAAAACACCTGAAGCACCCAGTGAGCCTTGGCTGTAATGTAGCAGCTCTGAGCTGAAGTGAAAAGGCTTTTGATGAATAGGAGGAAACTGTTTGGCAGCAGGTGGCAGAGAGTGAAAGTAAGTCTCTAGGTAAGTGGTTTTCTTCTTCAACTTGACATTGAATTGGGTTTTTTTCTCTCTGAAACTAAACTGAGTTGAATTTATTTGAACTTTGAACTGCTTTTGACTGAATTACTTACATGGATTTGAATTGATCAGAATTTAATCAAACTGAATTAATTTAAATTAAATTAAAGGACCACGCTCTGGTGAGAATCCTGTTCTTGTTGCTGCACAATGACTCAGGCACAGGTATGCACATATGGAGAAGAAACAAGAAAATAATAGGATAAGTGAGAAAAGAAGAGTACAGAGGAGAGAAGTAGTAACTCCTGCCTCAGTTTCCCCTTGCTGAAATATTTTGTGAAGAAACCATTGAACGATCTGCCATAAAATAATTGATTTAATGTATATGTTGCAGTACAGCAGATAAAGCAGTTTTGGTATTGCTGAGTGGAAAAAGTGAAGCAGTTCAGTCATGCAAATATTTCCTCAAGCCCCTCCATTGCATCTTTTTTTTTTTTTTGCTGCTCTGCTGCCACCCAGTGACTCTTTGAGGTAGTAATCCAGACGACAGTAACAAGTTATTCACTGATGCCAGAGCAAAAATGAAGGCTTTTTATTTAACAAAATGTTAGACACTACAAATCCCAACACAGTAGAAAAATGATAAAAATAGTAAGAAACATACATTGATATGAAAAATCAACAATAAATTTGGTAAAGAGATTTGTTGAATCTTGAAACACAAACATGAAACATGAAAAGACACGTTTTTAGTGTTGAAATAAAAGAAAAAACTGTCTCACTCTACAAATTTAGTTCTTTTGTATAAAGTCGGATGCTCACTGTTACAGTGTAAATGTGAGAACACCGACAGTGGAATAGCATGAAACAGCATTCAGATTTTAAATGTGCTTGTGATATTTTAAGAGGATATTTGAGATGAGGGAGGGGTAGTCTTGTTTCATACAGCAAAGACTCCGCAAACTGCAGCAGCTGACGTCACTGATCAATAAGGCTGAGAGGATAAACTGAAACTAATCAGCGAAATCAGCAAGCAGGTTGATATGTCAGCACGTCATGGTACACGGTTTCCCAGCTCCTGTTATTCAAATAACCCAGACTTCGTACATTTCTAAGCAAAAAGTAATTTAATTAATGGCCCATTACAATTTGTATTTGAGTTCATATTAAAACAGCAAATACTAAAAAGGGTAAACAGGGACCTATTGTGTTTTAAATCGTCCTGGTACATCTGATACAATTCATGACAAAGTAAAATAATGTAGCTTACAACAACATATACAGTATGAAATATCTTAAATAAATGTTTTGGTTGTCTAATTAAACATAGATTATCTAAAAAATTTAAAAAAAAAGAACATGAAAGGCACTTGAGGCAGGTAACATTGATACAGAAAAAAGGACAAAGATTAATTATGTTCCTCAACCTACAGGTTATGAAAACAAATACACAACTGGAGTGATATAATTGTTGAGAAATATCTTAATTAATTGTTTCTTGCATCATTTTAAAATCATATTCAGTTTCAGTGTTTATTGTGCGTGCTATGTGTCAGTACTTAAGATAAAAGGCACTCCTAAATAAGGGTTAGTTTAATAAGGTACCAGGCCAATAATGCACTTTTAGTAGGGCACATTTTAGACAATCTGAGTGTATAAAAGTGTGACTTTCCCCGTTTACACATATGTCCTCTGGTCGTTTCCAGTTGAGGTAGATTGTCTACACAACATATTAACTCAAAGCTTACAGTTCCAACACTGTCTGAGCCCTTTTCACCCTGTGTTAGATAGCATTTAGACTTTACAGGATCTGGTTCAAACTAACTCCTCCTGCTCTCAGAGAGGTCAACCATTAAAACATCACTTAACACTACAGTACAATCTCAAAGTTAAAGCTTGAGTAAAATAAATTATGTTTCCACCATGGTAAACTTTTTGGCCTCCTTTTCGGTTAAGAAGCGCAAGATAAAACAGTCAGTGATTAACTGCAGGTTTTGGGTCAATAGAATATGGGATTCTGAATGGAGAGTTTCCAGATTACCAGATAAATGTTGCCCTCCCGCAGATTATCTGCCTTAATTAGCCAAATTCCACTTCAAAGACGTAGATCAAAAGCACCTCTTATAATCTCTAAAACTGAGTTGCCTGCTCCAAAAAAAAGTCAAATGCATTACTACGAAATAATATAAACTCATTCTTCAGCCTGTAAAGGTCAAAAACTCCAAGCGCTGATTTACGTTCATTTTTTCAGTTCAGGACACTTGGGTATAACATTAACTTGCTGCCCTCATCGCATCACTCACTAACTCACTATTGTACATGAGGGAAGTGAACATTAGCGAATGTTAAAAAACGGCACAATGCATTATGGGTTGGCCCACAAAGATAACACTGGTTGTGGACAAATAGGACTGCATGTTCCTGCAGCATTTAGAGGTTTCTGTGAAGTGTTTGATTAAAAGGATTTAGTCTACAGATGTATTAAACAAAAAAGTTAATAAGCTCCCGATTGCCTCTGCCATAGATGAGTAATAAACTCTTACACCACACAAACTCACTGACGTCTATCACACATTGCAAGAGAAAACGTCACTGCATACACCAGACATTTTCACTGATTAATCAACCAAAATGGGGGAATCATTAGAAATCTTTGGTTGGGATTGGCACCTGCATAGTAAAGACAGGACACTCTTACCTAAATTATATTAAATTAAATTAATTGACCTTTAGTTGGAGGACAAAATCTCAGATTTTCATTACACACTTTGCACAAAGTGAAGGGTGTTTTCATGTGATTACTTTTTTAAAGTACTATACATGTAGGTTTAAGATACGGCACTCCAGTCCATCCTATGGTAGAGCAAATATGATAGAATTATAATCAATGATACAGACGTAAAGACTATAAATACAGTTCTACATCACAAAAACAGCACCCTTATTCAACACCGTATGACAAGGTTTGGTTTGTAACGATTACTAGACATGGCTTTGGCTATATTCCTGGTCATGCCACTGAAGTGATCAAGGTTTCAGACGCTGGGTTTAGGTTTTGTTTCTCTGGCAGGGAATCCTCAGCATCCAGGTCTATTGTGGAGGTCATTGCTGTTTTAAGTCTCTGAGGGTTGAAGAAGACAACATTTTAGAAACAGCTCAGGCACATATACAAAGAGAAAAATGGTACAATTGGTAAAATTGACTACTCGGTAATACCCAGTGGCAAAGTGTTGGTGTGTGGGTCCACCACTTTGGTCCAGACTTAAATATCTCATCAACTATTAGATGATTGGTATGCCATTCAATTCTGGTACAAGAAAGCTGTGAGAATAATCTCACACCATGGATTAGCATAAATCTTTTTATAGGCATTCATGGTTTCCACACTACGTATTTGAATGACATTCGTGATCCCCTGACTTTTCTTCTAGCACCACCATGAGGTTGACATTTTTGTTTTTTAGTGAAATGTCTGGCCAACTATTGGATGGACTGTCCTAAAATCTGGTACACATTTAGGTCCCCTTCAGGATGAATTTACTTTATACTTGCACAACTGCACAACATGACATTCAGCCTCTTCAGCTATATATATAATATTTCTTTTTCTATGTGTGTAGCATGAAAGGACTGCAAACATTTTGTTATAAAACCTTGTGTAAATACATTTCCTTGATTCCTTGAAATACTTCAATACATGATTTTGTGCTAATTAACAAATGCTGCATGCTAACAATCAAAACTATGATGGTAAACTTTATACCTGCTAAACATCAGTATGATTTTAGCATGTTAGCATGCCGACGTTAGCATTTACTGTTATTCAAAGCACTGAGCCGTTAGCGTGGCTTCAAACTTTTAGTCTTGTTTAAGCTAAGAGGGTGACAGGTTGGGTACGTTAGGGAAGAAAACAAATAAGAACATTTCTCAGCACAGGGAATCGAGGTGCAATGGGGTAAAATCAAATCTGTGGGGCGAGGGGCAGGGAGTCACAGCTGTGCAGAGGAGCACTCAAATGCTAAAACAGTTCATAAAAATCACCGTCTTCTATTGCCTGATTTCCACAGTTACTCGTCTAAATATGTGTCTTGTACTCACCTGAAGAAATGAGCCTTTGTTGTTATAAATCTCTTGAATTGCTCCAAGTGGGATCCATACTATGGAGACCAGTGAGACGCCCCAGCCCAGCCATTCAGCCCATAATGGATATTTGTACTTCCCATAGTGAGCTGGAGTGTACTGGGCAATGCTGGAGATCAGTATAACCTATGAAGGGAAGGAGGGAAAGGATAGCGTTAAAACTACATTAAACAACCATCATTATTCAAATTATTGTACTAAGCAATAATAGAAACTGTGGTGATTTTATTTAGGGTAAACCTCACCAGCACCAACACAGGACAGAGCAGCAGCCAACAGAGACGAAAGTAGATGTTAGGGGTTTTTCCTTGCATCCTCTCAATCATTAAAGAGATTCTTGGGACACCTGATAGAAAAAAAAAAGACAGGACAACCAGGATTAGAAGGGTTACTTTAAAAATGTTACCCATACAATAACTACTTGTTACAAAAATGTAATCAGTAACCTAATAATAATAATTAATGATACCTCAACATAAAAAATATGCAAATAAAGACACAAAAACAGAAATATGTAGAAGATTACTTTTACTATTCTATAACACAACAGAATGAGGATTTTTAATATCAAAAAATATTTTTAGAGAAAAGATTGCTTTTCATGAAGCCTGTGGACCATTTTCACAGCTGGAAGGAAGAACTTGTACTGTATTGTGTTGTTGTTCCCATTTTTTTGCTTTAAAGACAAAATAATGGTGAAATTTCCACGCAGGGAAGCAAGGGAAGCATTTCTTCAATAGAGACCATGATAACGAATTGGTAATATTAGCTATGTTTCACTAGAGACCAGAGCGGCCCAGACCACAACATGTCATAGCCCCCAGTTACATGACAAGCTCTTAACTCTCTACGCTCACAATCATATTCTGAGATCCTCAAGCCTGCCCTTGTTAGCTGTTCCTAGGTCACGGCTGGTGACTAAGGGCGACAGGGCATTTTGTCATGGCCCCTAGGCTCTGGAACTGCCTGCCCGAGGAGATTAGGCCCGCCGGCACATTACCTTTGTTGTTTGTTTGTTTCTATCCTCATTTATTTGGCCAAGTACTTGAAATGTATTTTATGTATTGGTATTCCTGCTACTAAAGTTTACTAAATGCAACTGTAATCGAATTACATCTTTTTTTTTCTCTAACTGTAACAGATGCAGTTACCTTTTTTTTATGGTTATCTTATTACGTAACTCCATTATATGTAATCCATTACTACCCGAGCCTGCCACTAATACAGATTTCCTTATGTCGTGGATATGCTAGGTTTAGTGTAATAATTGACCCGCCACAGAAAATCCTGGTGGCTGAAGCATTTACCATAAACATCTTATGAACTTTAAGCAATCTTACCAAAGATCCAGCAGACAGCTACAACTTCAAAAAAAGCCAAAAACACAAGAGAAACCACAGCGGTGTAGTGATCCATCAGCTGAAACACATAGATACCTCCCTGTGCAGGAAGGAGAAGAGAGAGAGGGGAAGAGAAAACCCCAAATTGCTAAATAATAACACATCCTCCAGTAAGTTTCACTGAGTCAAAAGTCTTGCTGTTACATAATGTACCTTTGTAACATGAGGAAGCCCGAGGATAAAGCAAACCATGCACACTGCCAGAGTCAGCAGCTCCTCTCTCTTCAGGAAGCGCAGAACTGTGGGGCCGAACTCATCTTTTATGAACGTTATGGCGACCTCCACTGTAGCAAACTGTGGCACAAAGAAAACACGGACTGTGTTTATAACAGTAATCCAATTTGCAGAATAAACAGTGGTTCCCTCTTGATTTATTATGACTTTGAGACATTTTTGTATGTTTTGTTTGTGGTATGAGGCTGTGCAAAGAGCTGCATAATCATAACTGCAAAGCTGTTAAAACACATATTGGTTGTCAGACAACGCCCACATGGAAACAGCATATTTAGCCATATTATGATATGAATGACAGTCTTGTTAGTTATGATTAGCAAACGTTAGCATGCTAAAAGCTAAACTAAGACAGTGAACACATTAAACATTATACCATTATCAGGACATTAGCATATTATGTTTGCATTTAGCTCAAAGCACCACTGTGCAGAAGTAGGCTACAGGCTAACAGAAGTGTTAGCATGCCTGTGGACTGTTAGCAAAAAGGAAGTGAATGAGTTCAGTCCCTTAAACTCACCTCCATTATACAACAACTTACTTGTACCTTGGCCATTTTAAATACATTAGAGACAGGAAGAGGTGAGAAAATGTTTGAGTAATTATCACCTCAGACGTTTTTTTAATGAAATGAAAGGGATGTAAAGTAGTTTAATGTACCTGTAAAAATACAGGGAAAAACATTAAAGTCACAGTAATTGTACATTTATACTAGCTAGAGTCAGTTAGGGTTAGCTGCACTTTATTTATTTTGACCTCATGAATTGCATGTGTAATCATTTCCATGTCCACGGCCAAAAGATGGACACAGTTAGGTAAACAGTTACAGAGACACAGTCAGCTTGAATGGGCACTCAAGAAATCTTTTAGTTGAGCAATGAAACATCCGCTCTGCCCTATTTCAAATGTGCAGTGCCCCAGTGCCGTGCTTCCCTCCTCCGTCACACTGTGTTTATGGGAGTGTTAGAGATGTTTACCTGGCTGTCCAGGCCCAGACACAGCAGCATAAAGAAGAACAGAGGGGCCCACAGCTGAAAGACGGGCATTGTGGAGAGGACTTCAGGGTACACAACAAACACCAAACCAGGACCTGAAACATAATACAGTGAATGTGTCGTTAGTTCTATAAGATGCAAATGTATACAAATTCAGCTGCCAAAAATTACACTTAAACAAATGAGATATTGTGTGTTTATTAGTGAGCTTTAGAGTAGAGGGTAGAGCCAGGATAGCCGTCCCCCCTAGTTTTCATGCTAAGCTAACAGGCTGTGGGTTTTAGCTCAATATTTCCAAAAAAACTAAACCTGCTACATCAACAGAAGCTGTAGTTTAAATGGTTAAGCTTACACCTATATCCATTATTGGACACTCAGGAGAATTTCCTTTGTGTATAGTCTTTACAACCCAGCTTCAAATAATTTATTACAGAATACCCATAAACTCAATTAACCTGTTTCTACTGCGTTTGACATTTAAATGTAATACAGTGGTATTGTTGTATTGTGATTGTATTGCTCAAAATAAGGCAGAAAATACACTATTGACAGTATATAATTAGTGAATAGAGCTTTTGTGTCAAAGCCAATTCGGAAATGTCTTAAAATTGCATTATTTCTATTGGCCAGCAGGGGGCAGCTCCATGGGCTGCAAAAAAGAGGCCCAATAGCATTGAGCCTTATGGGGAAATGAAACTACTTTTCACTTGATTTGCTAGCTCAGTAAACACTTTTGTAATGAATGCAGTGCACTCACTGGCTGCATAAGACTCCACCAACCAATGGGAATTTTTGGTCGCGTGATTTCACTACAGCACACAAGCAGACAATAAAGTTGTGCTCATGTTGCTGCTACGTATGGCTATAATTTACAACAGCTACTTAAAAGGGTACTCCAGCTATTTAGTATTGCCCTGAAATACACAAGAGACATATAATAGTCTCTGGTATGGGCTGAGCCCCCAAAAAACTGGATTCTACAATCCTCATGTCTTTCATTAGATCCGGCCAGCCTCCTTAAGGACCACTGCTCGTAAACCCTACAGTTTGTAATGACGTTTTATACTTTCAGTGCTTGCCTTTTAAACTTCAGGAAGTTTCTCCAGAGCCACACAAGACAGCAGTTTTTATTCCTAGTAGTACTCCTCATGGTGAGTAAGTTGAACTTGGTGGATAAAATCAGTACCTCATTAGGAAATTCTACATTTCCACTATTTATCCCTGAGTGACCTGGACATCTCAGATATTCAATGCAAATGGCACATCTTGAAATCTGTGTCTTGTTTTTCCATGGAAAGAAGGAAAAAAAGGCTCCCAGGAGGATGAAAACAAAAACAAAGTTCTTACAGCTGACCGCAGAGGTTGGGATATATTTGTTTGTCCATCTGTAGCACTCTGACGTCATTTAATACATCACATCATGTCCCTGATTCTTTCTTCTTGTTTAGGCCCTTAAAATAAAACAGAGCAATGAGAGTGTGGTGTGGACTTTCCAGGCTTGATGCTTACCATCTGTAGCTATGTTGTCCACTGGGAGGTTGTGTACATGAGCCATGTAGCCAATAGCCGAGAAGATCACAAAGCCAGCCAGGATGCTTGTGAATGAGTTGGTAAATGATACAATTAAAACATCCCTGGGAAAGGAGGAGGACAAAATAATATAGTTAGTATAATAAGTTCAAGAAACTCAGGGAAACAAGGGTACTAGACTGCATTCTTGTGCCAGCAGGGGGCAGCTCCATGGGCTGCAAAAATGAAATAATACGCCAATATCTTCCGACAATATCGGCCTAATCAAGACAGCTGTTTTCAGTTTTTCTATTCAAAAATTGGTAATGAAAGTAACTGTAACTGTAAACTGTCTGCGGCAGGGAAATAATGTAGGACAGTTGAGGGTTTCTGATCTATTTTCTGCATCCCACAGAGAAGCTGAGGCCTCCATTGATGCATATCTGTATTGTACACCCCAGTCTCTTCTTGTTCTGAATGAAACTAGTGATTCTTAATTTCCTATCAAGCATTCTCTGTTTCTCCCTGGTCGGCTATGTTGATGGTGGTGAGTCCAGCAGACAGTTCTCTGCGGGATGGGAGTAACCTTTCCAGAGAGCAGCTGAAGCGTACGACCACAGTAAACACAGCAAATTTAGAAAGAGAAGACCAAAAATTGGAGCTTCTTCCATAAACAGTTTGTCCACTATGTTCCTCTGCTGTTACGGAAGCTGCTCTTACAACACAGATGACTGAGAGCACAGATGACTGAGAGCACTGTTACAGCACTTTGTCATGTGTATAGTGGATGATCTTGGAGTCATTTGTGGTAAAGATTAAATTATTTTTTTTTTTTTTTTAGGCAAGTGAATCAGTTATATTTTTGGATATGATTTTTCTCTTATGTGTAGACTGAGGGAAAACTGATAAGATATTATTCCCATTTTTTGTTCATCTTATTACTGAATGATTATTAATGCTATCAGCATGTTTGGGTTGTGCAGTTTCATATCAGTGAGTCCCATAAATATTCACAATACAAACAGAAAAACATTATAATTCACTACTACATCTACATTATTTTATTAGGGCACATTTTGCTGGACAGTCACACACAGCACAGCTTTTCCAAACAGAGAACATCACATCTTTACCTGAGGATGTTGTTGTTGAACTTGTTGTAACTAGCCATCGAAACCATGGAGCCAAATGCTATTCCAATGGAGTTAAACACCTGGGCAGCTGCATTAACCCAAACCTGTGATAGAGAGGAAGGAGAGCACAAGGACTGACTTCAGTACAGCTTCATTTAATTTAGTTTTAAAGTGTAGGAGAAATTCTTCCAAAGATTGACGGTTGCTAGTTCTCTGAAGAATGACAGGCCGGTGTGATGAATCAAGTCACTTTATTACATGCAGCATGGATGTTCTCTCCAGACTTTCGGAATGATCTATTTTATATACCTTCCAGTATCTCCAAGATCACCTCCTAACCGTACTACTTGTAAATCCCATTCCAATGCCTTAGACCTTCCTTAACACAATAGTCCTTTGATCTAACAGTTTGATTTATTAACATATTCTTAGCATATTTCCCCCTACCATAAAATTCACTAACCCCCTAAACCAGACTTAATACATTTATTACCCCATCTAAAACATTAATCTCCCACAAAAGGCTGCCAGAAACCTATTTTCTCAATCAGTTTTTACGCTAAATAACTCCAAGAACTAAAACAGTTTTCACTAAACTTTGAATAGTCTTGGTTCATTGACATCAGAGATTTCTGTATTTGTGTTTTTATCTGAATTCTTCTCACAGGATCTAGCAATATTTGAATGTGACGATCAAATCTGATTAGAACTACACCCAAGCAGTTTTTGAGTGTGTTAATGTTCTTGTTTAATGTACAGGATCACTGATGTTCACATTTACAGCACTAAACAGTAGTTTTTGAGTTGGGCTATTCTCACCTCAGTAAGTATTCAGCTTACTTGTTTTGCTAGTGAGAGGTATAAAAAAAGACCCATCTGTAGTTGGAGCAGAGTTTCCTGGGAGAGTTGAAGCACTTGCTCTGGATTTTATTTAACATCAGAGGGAAACTATCACTCAGGTTTAGCTTTCTGTCCTTAAATTTTATCCTGGCAGCTCTTCCTAAAATGTTCAAAGCCAAATGTTTCACTTTCTAGGGGTGTCCTGAGTTCAACCTAAGCGGTTTATTGAGTTCATTGTTGCAATGACCTCTTCCCTTTCCCTTTTGCAGTTCTGGCTTTTGTTTAAGCTTAGGCAAACACATGATAAAAGTCTGTTCTCTATAATGAGAGGCTTCAATCTAAGAATTTGCATTCACTTCCGTACTCTCTGACATATGAAAAGGTAAATATAAGGTTGATACCATTTAGCAAACTCTACTGTATAATAATTACCAACATGTAACCAAGCAGGAACCTCAGTCATTTGCCAGTGGCTGGCAAATGAAGCCAAACGTACGTGCTAAAAGCTGCAATTCCTCGAACGGCCACTTGAGGCTGGCTACAGAAGTGAGTAATTTTCCATAAGGCCCCATATTAAAATGCTCAACTTTACAGCATATGTGAACATATTTCAGCCCGCCTCAGCTCCACTCGTGCTCTATGGGTACGGATTAGGGCGGAGTCGGGACTGCCAAAATGCCATCGGCCATGGCCGACTGCACTCTGAACTTCACAGCGGTGATGTCATGGAGACTACGTCCATTTTTAATTATACAGTTTATGCATCTAACCAGACTCTTATGTAGTAGCCTACTTTTTGATGGTGCTCGTTCATTAATAGAGTCTCACCTTCACTTCAAACAGTTTGCTCCAGACAGGCGTCACAAAGTAGAGGATACCATTCTTGGCTCCAGGCAGCTGCACATTATTAATGAGCAGGGCAAACAGGATGAAGTACGGAAACACAGCGGTGAAATACACAACCTATGACACAAACAGTGAAAAACAGAAACAGAACAGTTGATCTACTGTGGCAGGTTTTTAGTGACACCAGTGAGGATGATTTGTGGTTTGCTAAAATATCTCAGCCAAGCCCAAACAAGGTTATTTTTTATCAAAATTGACAGTTAATGAATTACTTTAGAGTATATTACTTCTCTGTCTCATTTTATCATGTCCTGAGTCTGAGTTGGCTGAGCAAACATATTTGTTTTGCATCTGAAGCTTGTCTTGTGTGTTTTGGACTAACATATTTCCATCTGCTTCCTGAGTGTGTAACAAAAAAAGTATCCCACGATCTTATTATTTTAAATGCCACTTTGAGAAAATGTGAGACTATACTGTATTCCTTCTGCATTCCTGAATTACAAATATTCAAATATCAGAGGACACAACATCTTCAAACAATGAACAGTGAAATTTAACAATGGGACCAACACATCTTGCCATTATTCTGACCTTGCCAGTAGATTTGACTCCTTTGAATATGCATAAATACACGATGACCCAGGAAATGAAGAGATAACCAAAGAGTTCCCAGCGAAGGCCACCGGCTTCTTCAATGCCACTGGTTTTCTCCAGAAGCCTGTGACTGAAAAAAGAGAAGTGTAAAAATACAAATGAGTGATTGTCATTAATGTAAAAGCCCCTTAGAAAGCCCCTGTATTTCTATATAACATCAGATATCCATGACTAAATTAGCAACAGTTTAAAGTTTCAGCTAATCTGCTCCATCAGGAATGTGTGGGTGAGGTTTGATCAGTCAGTTTTGATTTAAATCTTGCTAAATGTACAGACTTTTCCATGTGATATACCCAAAACATTTGCAGAAAATGATGTATTCATGTGGAACCATTAAGTTAAGAAAAACACCACATGATTGAAAGTTGAAAACAAACTATTCTCACTCAAAGAACTGTTGGCTGGCTGACTGGAGGTGTGTGTTGTTGCCGGGGAAACCGCTCGAACAGTTTCCGACGGCATTCCAGGTGTTGTTGCAGGACGTCCAGGGGAGGACCGCCTTGAATGAGTTGAACAGGTAGAAAAGTGCCCAACTCATGAGCACATTGTAGTACGTGGAGAACACGAAGGAGATAACAACTGTGGCCAGACCAACACCTGCAGATTGACACGTAGGGGAAGAGGACACGAAGTGAGAGACGACCCTGCAGACATTAACCCATCTGTGGGGAAGAAGTTTACTTTTTTTTTAAAAAATGTTAAACTTTAAATCACTCATTCTCATCTTATTCTTTGCAGGGAAGGGTAAATTATTTGAGCCTGGGATTATAATTATGGGTATAACCTATGTCTCGCATAAAGATACACAACAGAGAAGAGCCAGTATCATCTAAACTCTGGTCAGTGGTGGCCAAGGTAAAGTCAAGCAAAACTCGGCAACACATAAAAGGCATTCCCGGAGCAATGGATTAGAAATTCCATTGTGTCATTTGGCCTGTGAATATAACAGGCTCTTGACCAACTGAACAAAGGTGAGATCAAAGTCCTCCAACAGATTAAACAGATAAATTATTCAGTCTTTTAACACCTGTGGTTCTAAACTGGGTTATCATATTTCAGGTTGGGGTGTATATGCCTGTGTAGACCATACGTGTTTTTCTAGTTTTTTCACCTGTTGCTGAGCAATGACTCAGCAAAAGAGCTTAACCTCTACAGCAGGTTAGAGGTTCATTATTTTGCTCAAGGTCACTTCAGTGGAGTGGACAGGGAGAATCAAACCTAAAAAATTTTTTAAATAAGGGAAAGTATCCTCAATATGTTTTCCCTGAAAAGAATTGAATTTGAAGTTTGCTTTGTCTGTATAAACTGTCATTTCTGGAAAAACAGCACTACTTTTTGCTCTATCTGACACAACAAAAAGAACTTACATATTGCTATCAGAATATAAACTAAAGCAACAGTTCAACATTTTAGGAAATACGCTTATCCACTGAGAGTTAAATGAGTAGATTGATACCCGATCTCATTTATACAGTAAATATGTTAGCTAAGCACAAAGACTGGAAACAGATGCTCTGTCCAAAAGGTAACAAAATCCACCTACCAGCATGTTAAAAGCTCACTAATCGACATGTTGTTTGTTTCATCTGTGCACAAAGGGAAATGTAAAAAAAGACACCTTTTATTAGGGTTTATGTGCTAAACTATTTCTATTCTATTTACGAACCAAATTTCCTGGGGTTGGTTGCACCAACTGGTCTTAGCCTGGTCCTTACAAAGTAGGCAAGCTAGCTGTTTCCTTTGTTTCCAGTCTTTATGCTAAGCTAAGCTAACTGGCTGTTGGCTCCAGCTACATATTTACCATACTAGTGTAAGAGGGACAGGGATGGACCTGGATACCTTTTCATGGGATGGCAACAGGGTGGCATGGAGACTTTAAGGGAATTATATGCTGATTTTATCGCCATAATCACACATTTTTGTTGGAAAGGAAGGAAATCTAAACTAAATCTAAAATGTGGTCATACAGATCATTAAATAACTTAACGTTTTTTTCATAATTAAACTAAATGAATGTGTTAATTGTGACAGAATTTGACTTTGACTTAGGTGGCAGCTGGGGTGGCCCGGCACATTTTACCACCCCTGTACTTTGATTCCTGGAGAGGGGCCTCAATCTTCTCACCTGACTCTTGGCAAGAAAGCGAATTAGCTAACTTCCAAAGATGTCAAACTATTCCTTTTTCTATTACTATTCCCAATCCTTTGCATCATGTTATCACTGGTGTCTTTGTGATTTTTATCATTTCAACAAAACCACATGGCTCCCTGTTTTTCAGCAGTATATAAAAACTTTGCTTCCTGAAAACATTTTTGTACTCGACTGGAATGCCATGCTCCAATGGATCGTGTGTCATTATCTGGTAAAGTGGAAGGACAGATGGCTGAAAAACAGCTCTGTGTCATCATAATGACAGAACCAAAGGAAACCCTCTCTGAGCTCAAGGATCAGCTAGAACCACTGTATATGATCCACACTAAGCGCTCCTTTCTTTGTGATTGCCTGTTTGCCTGTCTCCCTCTACACATCTAGCTCACATGGTTGACTGCTTCACCGGTACACTGGACACACTCCGATGGGGAAGTGATGCGTCGTTTTGAACTGTCAAAAACATTACAGTCTGCTGAACTCAAAAACAAGGCAGACCAGTCAAAGATTGAGGGAATCGGTTAGAGCTATCCTCTTCTATCTCTTCTTTATTAGTTCATCCCCCTGTCATACCTCACCTGTCCACTAGACGCCTTCACTGAGACAAATAAGACAATCAACAAGTCCTTCATTTAACAATTAAAAGTATACATTTCTATGCTGTGATTAAGCATGCTGCAGTAAATTTAACATGAGCATATTTGTTGATTTGGGATAGATATTTGTGGGAATCTAAATCATGGATCACAGGTACATCACAGCAAACTGCACTGAGTTGCACAGGGAAATCATTTAAAAGAACATACAGAGAAAAACTACCTGCTTTTGGACCTTGTTTAGCACAGAGCATTAACCAGGAAGAAATGAGCGATAAATCAAGTGAAGGACCCATACGTTTTGACCGGGTAGATAATCTCTGTCTTTAAGGAGATAAGAAAACTATGGAGAAAAATCTTAAGTTAGAACAGAACAGGCAGCATTTTCATTTCACACCCATAAGTAATTATTGTTGCTGGCTGGGCTCTTGTTTGATTTGGACAGTTTGATGAGCTGCCAGTGCTCTCTCAGTCCACACAGTCCGCAGTTCATTCATACGTCTGTAATTTAAAATTACAGAAAAAACTTTCTGGTTTGTCTAATGTTTTTAATAAGCACTTCAAGCTTTTAACCAAACAACTTGTTCTACTGAGCCACATGATTTGTCCGATGTTTGCAATTTGTTTTAAGAATCAAAGCAGACTGTGAGAGCACATTCAGCACGTCAATCATCTTTGACTTAATTATCAATCAAATAAATCAAATTTAAGGATATTCACGTCATGGTTCAGCTGATTTCATGATTTCTTTCTGGATGATATAAATTTTATGTTCATTAAATTTTGGAGAATGTATAATTAAAATGATTAAGATAAAGAAGTCAAATGAGAAAGTGATTGAAATGTCCGCTTAACAAGTTCTCATCCATCAACATGTGAAAACAATCCATTTATCAGACAGAAAAGGGCAGATTTCATTTAAAAAAGGCAACAAAAAGCACTTCAATGTGCAGCACAGACAGTCTTCCAAACTGAATATTGTTTTGATAAAAATAAAAAATAGTTTAAGCTGGTTTTGGATCCAGATCTGCATCAAATATACTGAGTCAGACAAACAACGTGTCATTAGAAAACTGTATAAAATGCATTATTATGTTATTATTAATTACTGATTCCCCCTCAACTGGAGAGGAGGGTTTCACGGCTGGAGGACATTAGGGGGGAGGAGGACTGATTTGCTTGGCTGGACCTCTTTTTCAGTATGTCACTATGACGATACATCACCACAGGTTTTTACGAGTAAAACAGGATCAGATTTTATTGTCTTCCTCCCTCACAGAAGAATCCACTGTACTCTGTACTTAAATACAATGTACATACAGTATTGTATACAGTATTTGATTTGTCCTTACGCACACATGTCAGGTTTCCTGTTCTTTGTTCTGACAACCACGTGTCAAGGAAGAGCAAATACATGCTGTTTTTTTTTGTAACAGTAACTAGAGATAACTTTCACGTTGTGTTTATTTCCGAAAATGTGCAATTTATCATTAAGCAAAATTGCTTCATTTCTACTGAATCACTCCCTAACAGACTATTATTGACAGCTAATGTAGCTACTGCAATTATCTATTCTGTTTTAATCTTGTATTGTCACTTTTTTTTTTACAAATGTTAAATACATAAAAATGTGTCATCCTCTCATTAAACGACTTGGATGAGTTGATAGGACCACATTGTTTATACCAATAGTCCTCTCCAGGAAGAGTCTAGTTCAAAATATGTGGAGCTCTTTGTTTACTGTATTGATCAACTGGGATTTCTGGAACGATAGTTAATAATTAACTTTTTTTTGGAGAGGTTATTTGTTCATTGAGGTAGTAGTAGTGATTATAGTAACATATTTATGGTAACTATACAAATACAGTAATAACTCTTATTCCCTGACATATATCCATTGCTCTTTCCTGCTTAAATGAGTAATGACAGAAAGGTCTACTTTCTCTTGCGGAAGTATTTCTGTGTACTCAAATCGTCCTTTTTCTTGTTAAAATAAATAGTTGCACAGACATTCTTATCTTATCTGAGTATACAAGAGGTTGATGTACCGGTTAGTTTTGTTCTCAGACACTTTGTATTTGAAAAAAATACTATATATATAATTTTAGAAATGAGCAAAACAGTGCACAGCTCGTGGACATGTGGCAAACTTTGGATACATACTCCATTAATTAAAAAAAAAACAATGTCCAGACAAAAAAACATGGCAAGTATCGTCCCCAAGAACGTGAAAGGGAAGAATGACTCATCAGATGTTCGTCCTCGTCACACCAGAGGAGCCTTTGGCCAGGAAAAAGTCACTCACCTTTAAACAAGGGACAGATTTTGGCGAAAGCATGCACGGGCCCTAAACGAGAGTACTGCCCAATAGCAAACTCCATGTAGAGCAGGGGAATGCCACACAGGATCACCATGGTGAGATAAGGGATCATGAAGGCACCTGAATCAGAAGAAGAACAAAGAAGAAAGATGGGTGAAGGATACTATTGACCTCCTCCTCCTAAGAATGTCAATAGTCATAGTGCCTCTGGAGACAATTAAAGTGCTGTGTCATTGCTTAGATAAGTCATACCTGCTGTACAATAGGTTTCTGGTTTGTTATAAAAGGCTTTATTATTGGTTAATGCTGTATTAGTGCTTAACAAGTCACTAATAACTTACAAACCAAACAAAATCTGGGGGATGGGGGCATGTTCTGAGCTCACATGATAAATATGGCTTAGTGTACACACCACACCTAAAAAAGAACTCACGTTCACTTATCCGGTGCTGAAGCTCAACAGCTCAGCTGTTGCTATGGTGAATCTTGCTGAGTCATTCTGAGCTACAACACAGATGATGTTGTAACATGACAGAGGGGAAAAAAGGATTGACTTGTATAATACCTCTATATAATGATGAATTATTATGATCATTAACCTACAGATGTCTTTGCTGATTAAAAACTGCTCCAATAGAATAGTGAGTGAGAACTATTTTGACCTTTTCAAACAAAACAAAATAATAAAAAAAAAAAAAAAAAAAAAAAAAAAAACGGATTTGTCTATGCAGTATCTGTTGTAATAACCCTGGTTATGACTGAGGCTATTGTTCTATTTATGTAAATCATGTATCAGTCACACTGCACGTGACTGCTTATAAATGCTCATCCCCAAAAAACTTTATACATTTTAAACAGGGCAGTCACAATAATTTGTGTGTCTTTATCAACCTAATGATATATTTTGTAAATATTATTGGTACACATCATTATTCAGGTACTGTGTACAATATACACCCAGTGGTTACTTTATTAAGTACACCTGTACAATATATAGCAATTCAATACAACATCTCAGCCATACATTCTACCTTTATGACATTTGTAAAATTCTGTTTTTGTAAACACTGTCATCAGTAACTAGGCACTCTATGATAATACATGTATAACATGTATAATTGAGTTAACGCCTCTAAAACAGGGTGGAAAAAGTAGATTTTACACGCCTGGGTATCAGAAAAGTTGTTTTTAGTGGCTATTTTGGTGGCCACAACCTATGCAAAGTAGAAGTCTGTTTCACTGTAAATACATTTGTATACAATCTCCATCCAATTCCCCAATTCAGCCCTGCTGCGGGTTG